CGCTCCTTCCTCTCCCTCCCCTCCGTCTGAGACACTCATCCCTCTCGCGGGTCATAGGATGACGCGGGGCACCCTGGCTCGAGGGTGTGACCCCGATCTGGACTGTGGCGACGCCGATCTGGTTCATGACGGCCCAGATCTGGACTAGGCGGTGTGGCGGCCGGCCAGCGTCCTAATGGCGGTTGTGGTGGCAATGTTGGCGACGCGGGCTGCGGGCGCGGCGGCCTTCCCTGTTTGGGCCGTGGCGGCGGCGCGCCATCTGCCTTTGGATCGGCAGCGGCGACGTGGAGGGCCTGGTGGTCGCGTCGGCGGCACCTCCGATTATATCTGTTCAGACCGGTGCAGCCGGCGGTGGTGGTCATCTCTTCCGTCAGAGGTGGCCGGCATGTGGCTGGGTGGTCGGATCACGAGATTCGTCATCTTGTCTTGGCTACGAGTCCGGGAGACATACTTGCTGGTGAAAACCGAGCCGTTGGCGGGCGATGGCGGCATTTTTCACCGTTACCTGGATGGAGGCATCGTCATGTAACTGTTGTCGACCCACTCGTGTTGCTTCGGGGGAAACCCTATGATCTGGTCTTCCAGATCGAACGATGGCGGTACTACAGTGCCGTTTCTCTCTTGAGAGTATCGTTTGTGGAGCAGCGCTGGAAGACAGAGGCAGAAGGTGGAGTGGTTTTGTCTTGCACTGAGCTTCGGTGGAGCTGTCAAGTCATGCCTGGCCGACAGGTGCTACGTTGAGTCATGCCTGGTTGGCAGGTGCTACGCACGACGGATCTTCCAGAGTCTTCGCGTCCGAAAGGACGAGTGTACGTAGGGCGGTGGTGCCGTGGGGCGTCAACGGATATCCGGACTAGCAAGGATGATGCGGATCTCTCCTGAAGATGGGTCAGTGATTCGATGATGATGGTGGCTTCTAAAACATATGTATGTGGTGTACGCTTTAGGTAGCTTGCACTGGCTGTTGGTCCTGATATGTTATGTGGATGGATCGGCGACGACACCGGTTTTAGATATGGGGAGTGAGAGCAGTCCACATTATCGGGTTTGTAGATGTGAGTGGTGGCTTCGGGTGGATTGATGTCTGTTCTTATCAAACATTTGTGAAATAATTAATAAAGATGGCCGCATATGCATGGATTGATGCAGAGGCCGGGGGTTTAACCTCCTTTTCAAAAAAACTTTCACTTTCCAACCGAGGCCTGCCTCACAAAATCTTTTATTTTTCCACTCCTCCCACCTAGACACCTCCCACTCGTCCCGGTCTGCCACTTTCCTCTTCTCCCTCTTTGAGGAAAGTGGCGGCGGTCTCGGCAGTGGCTGCCTCACAGGGTGTTGGATTTGAGGAAAATAACCCCAAACAAGTCCCGCCAGAATAGTTTTAGGGCCAGTTCTTTTGAGCGGCTTAAAAAATAAGATGGCTCTCCTCAGCTTAAAAAGTAAGCCGTCTCTAAATTTTTTCAAGACTTATGAATTAGTTATCCCATAATTAGTTTAGAAGCCCCAATGAATATAAAAGTTGGCTAATGAAAAAAGCTGGGATAAGACGGCTTATTTTTTAAGCCGCCCAAAAGAACTGGCCCTTAATATTGTCGTGGTACTAAGACTGACAGTATAATAGGGGGTAGGTATGGAGAGGCAAGATCCTAGCTATGGAGTAGTTGTATACGCAAGTGATTTACGAGTTCAGGCCCTTCTCGGAGGAAGTAACAGCCCTATGTCTCGGAGCCCGGAGGCGGTCGACTGGACTATATGCGTATGAGTTACAGGGGTGCGAACCCTTCTGCCAGTGGAGGGGGGTGGCTTATATAGAGGATGCCAAGACCCCAGCCAGCCCACGTAGCGGAGGGTTTAAAGTACATTAAGGCCTGGCGTTACTGGTAACGCCTTACATAAAGTGTCATCATGACCATAAAGACTATTTAATTACAGACCGTTTGGATACAGAGTGGCTCTTGAACTCCTGGTGGTCGAGTGAGTCTTCATGGTCGAGTGTCTTCAAGTCCGTCGAGTGGAATCCCTCTAGGTCAACTGGAAGACGGTTTCTTCTAAAGATGTCCTTGGGGAGGGTACCTTGGGCAGGTCCATAACCCTACCCTAGGTACATGACTTCATCAAGTATTACACAAAGTTAGCATCGTTTACCAACCGCTGCAGCTGATGATAAACTAGCAGCATTCAGTGATACCAAAACGTTGTTAATGCTAACTATGGACTAGCAGCGCTCTATTTCGTCGAACGCGGCTAGTGTTGCCAAACTATCTCTCCAAACATGCTTTCGCCCCGCTTTATATACTAGAAGCGTTCAATTTCCTTAAACGCTGCTACTAAATACAGACTAGCAGCGTCTACTTATTACTGAACGCTGCTACGTTGAAATTATGGTTTAGGAATTTTTCAAAAATGTAAACGTAGTAGATAATTTTTGAAATTAGGTATGTTGTTATCAAATGACCACTTAAAACTATAGTAAAATTATTGAAGTTTCACAGACTGGTTATGATACACGTTGAATACATAGTCGGCTGGGATGTGCGGGGAGATGATCGAATATATAGGTAGGGGGGAGGGGGGGTTCAAGGGTGTTTTTATAGATGCACACAAACAATCATCCCGGTAAGTCTGACAAAAAGAAATGAAACAAAACCGACAAAACGGTAACAGTAGAGTCTTGTAGACCGACACTATGCCTATGCCGAAAGTGGGGGTGGATCTATCCGGAGATTATGCTGCCACTCATGCATGCATGTTGGAAAAAACCCTCCGTAGTCACCTGATCCAACCGCATATACACCGCCTTAAACAAAGATTGGTACTCTTGTAGCGTAGGCCATGTATGAAGCGAGTGCGTACACCGAAAAATAAGATGTAGAGGAGAAGCATTTTTGTCATTAAAAATCAAATCATTTCTACATAGCCATAGCGACCACATTAAGGCATACACTCCCACTCTTGTTAACGTTTTGAACCTATTTGAAATACATGCACCTAGGACAACCATCTCAAATAAATTGTACTAAATGTGAGCTTATTTTCTTCACCTACACCTTCTCACCATTTGGAAGGACTACACAGTCTCCTTGTTGCTCACGTATTCCTTGCTTACAATGCTGGCACCTGCCTTTAAATCGATTATTAAGGGTGTGTCTAGAACTCAGTCGACACAGTCGAGTGACATCAGCGTGTTTTTTTTTTGCTACAAGCGGCATAGCTAGATGTTACAAACGGCGACAAAAAATGTTGCGATGGTATTGCAAGCAACAACAACAAATGCTACAACCGTTCTAACTAAAATGGTACAACCGTTAATGAAGTATGTTGCAACCGGTGAGATGACGTGCTGCAACCGATGAGCGATGACATGTTTCAACAAACAAAACGAATGTTGCAACAGTAGGAAAAAATGTTGCAAACAGTCACAAAAAATGCTGCATGGTCGACTGAGACTTGGTTAAATCTCAGGCCTGATCGATTAAATACAACAGAAATAAAGCAGGAACCGGCTGGATGATTCATCACCAAGTCGTCTGGATTCATCAATTTACAACTAAAAGTCGTCCGTATCCCACCAATCACAAACCAAAAGCTAGGTGTCTTTCTTAGAAAACTGTCTTGGGTCGAACTAAAGCCGCCGGTGGTCCAAAGAAAAACAAGACTTCATGGTTTATACTATGTAGCCTGCAAATTAGATCATTAGACCTTACATGAAGAGAACCACAAATTAGGTCATTAGACTGCATGGTTTGTCATATCTCCCATGTTGAAAGACTTCTAGAAGTCGTCTGTATTCCTCCAATCAAAAACCAAAAGCTGTCTGTCTTAAAAAATGGTCTTGCTTAAACAAAAGCCGCCGGTGGTAGAATGATAACTTAAAGAAATACAGGTTCAGTTGAGTTCCATTTAACATGAAAAAGTAAACGCCAAGGTTAGCTCATACGAGTATCATGGTTCTCATAAAGCCTGGTAGAGCATGGGGTGTTTGCACTCTCCATCTCCATCTGATCCTGATTAAAAACTAAAATAGGCCATGGAAGCCACATCAGAAACCTTAGTACCTATCCAAGAGCTAGTCAGGATTCAGGAAGACGACTGAGAGACTTGAAACCGATTTCTCCAGGATTGGAACCAAGATTCATAGGTTCCCGCGTAGCGTCAGCGGCAAAGGCGGACCCTACATCATCCCGAGCTTCGTGGCCCTCGGCCCGTAGCCTCACCCCAGCTGCAAGAAATGGAGGAGGTCAAGCACGCAGCGGCGCACTACTTTTGCGCAGAGTCAGGCGACTCGGTTGAGGAAATGTACGACAAGATCCTCTCCATCATCAGCCAAGTCCGCTGCTGCTATGCGGAAGATGCGATCGCGGGTTTCAATAACGCCGAATTAATTTGCGGCAATGATGTTCCTCGATGGTTGCTTCCTGCTGCGCTATATTACCTTTGATATGGAATGTGCTCTTCTCACAAATCGGATGACCCTGTCCACCGGGCCTTGCATGCTGAGGGACATCTTTCTGCTGTTGAACCAACTACCTTGGTTGGTGCTGGAGGCTCTCATGGCTTTCACCAATAACATTGTTCCTGTGTACAGGTTTGTTTGTAACATATCGTTCGATTTCGACGCCATCTCAGTTTCAGACTTGAGACTCAGAAGATGAGTTCCAGAGGTACAGGCCGCCACATCTCCTTGGGCTGTTCCGAATTCCGATACTATCAGATAGGTGCCATGCCCCCCGAAGATCCTAGCTACAGGCGCAGATGCCGTGCGCTAGCTAGTGGTGCGGCCGAGCTGTTGGAAATCGGTGTCAAATTGACCGCCGGCGACAAGAGATGGTTCGCAGACATGAGCATCCGTAAAGGACCCCTTGCCGGTGCGCTGTCGCTGACGCCATTATTCCTCAGCGACTGCACTGCTTGCTGGCTCGTCAACATGGCGGCCTTTGAGGCCTGCACGTCCACCAGCTATCCCTCCGATGGTTTCGTCGTTAGCTCGTACCTCTCACTCCTGGCGATGCTCGTGGACAAGGAGGAGGACATGCACGAGCTGCGAGCTAGGCACCTCCTACGCAGCTTCTTCAGCGACCAATAGGTGCTAGGCTTCTACAAGGGCCTCACTCGCCACATGCGCCTCGGAGAAAGTCAGCAAAACCTTGGAGAAAGGAGAAGTCCAGGCTAAAAAGGAATTGCCTTTGGTTTTCCTATCCCTGCCATCATAGGAATAACCAAATACCC